GGCACAGCCGGTCTCGCCACTAGCCGCCTTGAGCATGTCGCCGCCTCTGCCACCAGTTCCCAACAGCCTTGCTATCAACACCACCAACAGCCCCAAACAGGCGCCACCGCCACCACAACCCCGTCGCGCTGCAACTTGGTGGAACGTTGCCACTTCGAGGCTGCATAATCAACCTCTATTCTGTCGAACTCCGTAGAGATGACCATGGGAGTCTCGAAGACATCCACCGAGTAATAACAAGAGAGTATGCTCTGAAGATTCACCCCCGCCAAGTCGGAGTTGTCTCCGTACTCGCCCGACGCCTAGCGATTTGAGATATTGATTTGGCGACTACCAAGCTAACCTCTAATGTTTGGGGAATAGGAAAACTGAACCGTGTGGTGAGGAAGAAGTGCGGATTTGCAGATTTTCAAGGATCATTTGGGTGGTGTTTTGGAAAATTGGATATGTTTGAGGGATCTTATTGTAATTTCTTAAATTTTATTATATTTCAATTTAGTATGTGAGGCAAATTGGTAATTTAATAAAATTTCTAGGGACTTGGATGCGATTTCTGAAATTTGAATATATTACATTTTAGTTCATGGGTAAAATTTGTAAATTAACAAAAATTCAATAAATGCACAATAATATTCAGTACATTTAACAATATAATATGAGTATATGCACATTAAAAGTTAAAACATCACCTGAAGCACATTAACAAACAATTCCGGTGGCATTTTCAATTTTGGGCGAACTGTACGCACCCATATCGCTACATAATGCACAATATCTATAATATAATTGCACATTAATACATATAAAAAATGCAAAATGGCGTAACAATGTTTTTTTTTCTTCACAACGGTCATTGCGCGGAATATAGACTAATGTTCATTTTCACATGCATTAATGTGCAATCAGTCCAATAATTGTGCACTCCGTCTAACAATATTGTGCATTCTCACAAGTTTACCAAAAAGGCATTGCGCTTAATTTTGTTTATTGACCGAACTGGCCGACCGAAATAACTTTGTCAAACTTTTGAAAAAAAAAATGAAGACCGACCTTTTGTCCCAAACGAAACTAAGTACGAACACAAATAATTGGTTTATTCAGTCATTTATCCGAATTAACCAAAATAATCATTTTAAGTTATTATTTATATTATAAAAATATGTTTAGTATTTTAATATTTTAATATAACTTTTGGCTAAAATACATAATATATATATATATATATATATATAATGTATAAAAATTAGTATTGATTACGTAGTTCGATTGATTTAGATATCTTGTTTATTTTTAAAATAAAGTCGATATCGAACCAATATAACCCAATAATTTAGATGTGCAAATCAGAAAATATGGGGAATTTTGATTTTTTTCATAGGATTATTTTAGTCACTACTTGCGGTAAAGTGCAATCTAATATATGTTACTTTGCCTATTGTCTATCACTATTGTGCATTCAACATTGTAAAAGCATGTATAATGTAGTATGCCTTTATTAAAATTATCTCAAATTAAAATAAAATCAAACTAAAATAATAGTTTATTCGCTCAATTAATCAAATTAACCATAATAACTAAAATAAAAATATTATTTATATTATAAGCACATATATAGTGTTTTAATATTTTTATATAATTTTTTGTCAGTTTTTTTGGCTGAAAATGAATAATACTCATATAAAAAATAGAAAAAAAAAACAATATTTTTTATTTTCTTCGATTCGGTCGAAATCTTTAGTTCCTATATCACTATTATATAGTCTGTAGGGTATATTTTTAATGTGCATATATACACACTTATTGTGCATTTCAATTAATATTATTGTGCATTTATTAAATTTTCTATAAATTAAAAATTTAACCCTTGAACTAAAAAACAATATATTGAAATTTATGAAACTGCAATTATGTTCATAGAAGATATCAACTTTTTGAAAAAAAAAATCCCCCTATATCCAAACTTTGTTCATGTTCGTTCCCGTCACCTCATCCCCTTCTTTGCCGCTAGTGAACCACCGGACCGTTCTCTGCCTCGCCAAAACTTTGCCATTATTGCGTAAAACATTTGTACCATCCCAAGAAACCATTTGCAGGTCAGAAAGGTCATATGTTTCAACGGGACCACATAGCCGTGAACATGTTCGTCGGTCGTTGGCTGCTCCTCATCGAACATAGGCGGCCCCGCAGTCCCTAGCCAAAATCGCACGAGAAAAACTTGGCGTAGGACAAGATGCTTGTCGACGCCACAGTTCGCCGCAAGAAAAAACACAGCAAACCACCTGCGGGTTGGCTATCAGTCCCCGCCGCTGGAATCTTTGTGCGGTTGGAACCTTTTGCAGCCAGCGTAGGTACCCCAGACCGCTCCTTTGTCTCCAGTGTTTCTTGTAGAGACTTAATTGCAAAAACTCTCACACCGGAGGGGTAACTTCGAACACTCGAACCGTCTCAAAATCGGCTCACCTTCTTACTACTCACCGATAGAACATTGAATACTTGCAAAAACTCTCACACTGGAGGGGTTTTTGGATGAAGATCTTCCGATGATTAAGTCAATATAAGCTCTACTCATTTCTCAAGAGTATAATGAATAAATCGTGTTGAAATCGTAAAGCTCACCCCTATATATAAGGGTGAGATATTTTTTTCTAGATGTTTGTCCAAATAAGCTGAGTTGGCTACCCAAAATTGCCCGGCCTTCCCGTTCGTACAACACACACTGAAGGGGTGTTAGAGATGGTTATACGCAATGGACCAATCAGGTTATGGCACGTGTCCTCCGCACATGAGGGTTTGATTCCTCTGAGATATCCCTGAAGGCTTTTATGCTCGACCACCTCTAGACTGATCCGCTATATGTTCCCAGTCTAGAAAATGGTCGATCAGACGACCGTTTGTGCGACAGGTCGATCTTCGACCAGATCCTCCTTGGATCTGGGACCAACTTTTTCTCCTTGTGCCAGAGTTCCTTGTACGTTGCCTTCTAACATGAACGCTCTCGTTACTGTGGTGTTCGACCACGATCACCTTGTTCGGACTTTGTTTCGACCAAAGCGACTTGTTCAGTTCGTTCGTCCGGCTCCGATTTACTTCTGTGGGTACCCATATCATTGTTGTCCTCCGTGAACAAAGCACGTGATCCGCAGACATCCTTGATCAAGTTTTCATCCGGCCCCGGAGGCTCCTCATTGAAAATTAGTGGACCTTCGTAGAAACTGCCCGTGTCACCAGTAAGATGCTTCACCCGAAAATCCATCTCCCATCGCAACTCACCAAAGCCCTCAGTCTCACGCCAAGGCTCGTGACGC